TTACTCAGATGCACAAGGTATTAACTAGTAGTATTCGGGAGGAGGGGGCAGAGCCTGGCAGAATTATCACACAATTCCACAAGGTGAAAGAATGAAAAAGCGAGTCAACCCCTGGCACATTTGGACCACATCATGCCAGGTGTTTGGTGCAGGACAAACATCTGGATGTGTGATTATATTTTTTTATTCTTCCTCCAGATGCTGGGATATTGTAAATGTTAGGGATAAGCAAAAAATTACTTTGATCATTTGAAAATGGGAAATGGGCCCTGGCCGCTGTAGCTCAGTGGATAGACCATCGGCCCGTGCAGCAAAGGGTCACAGGTTTGATTCCTGGTCAAGGAGACATACCTGTTTTGCAGGTTTGATCTCCAGCCCCGGTCAGGGCTCATATGGTAGGGAAGGTATCTCTCTCACATTGATGTTTCTCTCTCTCTCCCCCACCCCCATTTCTCCCTTCCACTCTATAAAAAGCAATGGGAAAAAATATCCTTAGGTGAGGGTTAACAGAAGGGAAAGAAAACAAGAAAAGAAAATGGAACTTCATAAAAAGAATAGGATGCTAGGATGTTTCAAAGAACAATAACAACTGGGCTGAGGGAACCCTTTCTGTAATACCAACTTCGCATGTCTGTCCTAAGGGCGGAGGTCCTCAAGGCAGAAGGCACCCCCAGCAGTTCTTTCTGAAACCATTCTCTAATAGCGTTTCTCCTCATACACTTATCATTTCCAATGGAATAATTCACTTAGGTATCAGGACAAGAAGGTTAGAATACTTTACTGGTCCCAACTGACTTGGATGAAAATTATTTAACATGGGACGGACAGCTCTTTTAGATTGCACAAGAGCCACTGCTTTCTTTCTCAGAAAAAAGCAAACACCACATAATGCTATTGTATCAATCTGTAATTATGTCTCAATTCAAGTTCCTATTCCTTTTTCAGATGCAGAGGTCACTTACTGTATGATTTCAGCCAAACATTTGCTCAGTCTCTATTAATTTCTTCTTTGTAGAGGAAAATTACATTTGCTTTAAAATATAT